TGATCTGTTCATTTTAATTTGTTTGGGTTGGTTCTTTTATTGCTTTTCTTGTTCGTTCCTTTGTGTCTTTCTATTTCCTTTAACTCTTGCAGATTTGTTGGAGTTAGATTGCTGCAAAAATAACTTGAATTGAGCTTGTTTAGTTCAATAACGAACTGAAAGAGGAAAGTTGAGTGAGGGAAAAAGGCAAGAGGTGTGAGCAACACTTGAGAGAAAAGCCAAGTTCTACAGTGTGTAAAATACGAGCGTTGAGTGCCATTCTGTGAGAGAGTGGAGTGAAACACGTAAGGGAGTGTTGTGAGGTCCTTTTATTTTCTATTTCTAACATTCCTTGCAGGTTTCAATCATGTCAAGCAGTGATGACAGAAAACACCAAGTGGATTATTCCTTCATGCTCAAAGCTATGCAACAACAATTTCAAAGGCTAGACATCATGTTTGGGGAAATTAAAGACAAAATGGAGAAGAAAGATGCAGCCATTGCCAAGTTATACCAAATACAGAATGGAAGTCCAAATTTGCATAATCACGATCTTGATGACAATAATGAAGACGCATTCAACGATGATACCCAGAACTCAAATTTCAGCATGGACAGATTTATGAGAAGTAGAGGGGGTCAAAGATATAGATTTAACAAAGGAGACCAAAATCTGGCAAGGTGGGGAGATCGGCAAGATCATGACTTAGGTAGCATCAAGATGTAGATTCCTCCATTCCAAGGGAAAAATGATCCAGATGTGTATTTGGAGTGGGAAAAGAAGGTGGAATATGCCGTTGATGGAGAACTGCTTGTCACTAGGCGAGCTTTGAATGATGAAGTCCAATGTGACAATATATTTCACACGAGGTGCCATGTCAAAAACAAGCATCCAAGGCCATGTCAAAAACAAGCATCCAAGGCCATATAAACTGCAATGGTTAAATGATTGTGGAGAAATCAAGGTAAATAAGCAAGTTCTGGTTTCATTCTCTATTGGACGATATAAAGATGAGGTATTGTGCGACGTGATTCCCATGCATGCCAGACATTTACTTTTGGGGAGACCATGGCAATATGATAGGAGAGTAACACATGATGGCTTCAAAAATCGCTATTCGTTCATCATGGAAGGGAAAACAATTACTCTTGCACCATTGAATCCAAGGCAAGTTTACGAGGATCAACTGAGAGTAAAGAAAGAGAGTGAGCTCAGAAATGAGAGTGAGCTTGAGGGTACGAAAAACAAAGAGAAAACAGCAGAAAAAGAGTCCAAAAAGAGAGAAAAGATTGAGAGTGTTGAAAACAAAGAGAGAAAATCAGTGAGTGTTTATG